AAAAAAAAAAAAAAAAGAGTATGTCTATTATAGAATGCTTTGACTCTGAGATTTAGTATAGAGCTTTTTTTTTGGCCGGGGCTGGGTTTGAACCTGTCACCTCTGGCACATGGGGCTAGAGCCCTACTCCTTGAGCCACAGGCGCTGCTTATTTTTTTTAATAGAGATGGGGGTCTCACTATCTGCCCAGGCTGGTCTGGAATTCCTGGCCTCAAGTGATCCTCCTACCTCACCCTCCCAGAGTGCTGAGATCATAGGCAATCACCACGCCCAGCCTGAAATCCTAACATTACTTTTCCCATCTTCAAGCCCCCCTACCTCAGTTTGTACATGCCTATCTCCAGTTCACTTCCAGCGTTCACTTTTACCACTTAAACTTCTCCTTCCCCAATGCCCTACCCCACCTGAACTCACATGCTACTATCTACCTCTGACTTACCCTGCATCCACCTCTACCTCTGCCCCATTTCTTCTCTCCCCAAACTCACTGCCAACCCAGACCAAACTCTGTCTGTGCTTCTGCCCTGACACTGCCCCAGCCTCTGGCTCCCCCAGAGAGTGGAAGCAGTCAGGCAGCCTCTGGAGCAGCTGTGTCTTTGCAGATATCATGGTGACTGAGTACGTGGAACATGGGCCCATAGATGTGTGGCTGCGGCGAGAGAGGGGTCGTGTGCCTGTGGCCTGGAAGGTGGTGGTGGCCCAGCAGCTGGCCAGCGCCCTCAGCTACTTGGTGTGTGGCCTGTGCATGGGGCCCTTCTCAGTCAGGGAGGGCCAGGGCGGCCTTGGTATTGGGGTAGGAGGCCTGCACTCTTCACTTCGTCTACACGCTGTCCCTGGAAGATCTCTCCATGAACCTTCTCTGCCAAGTAGATGAGGTCTTTGGGGTCTGGCTTTGGCCTCCTCTGTTTCTGCTTCTTGCCCTTCATTTCCAGCACTTCCTGGTCTGTCACCCCAGTTTCCAGAGGTCCCTCTTTATCTACTCATTGTCTACTGGGCACCCTCTGTGTTCCAGGTCTTGTCCCAAACCCTGGGGACACAACAGAGCACAAAATAGACAAAGCTGTCCTCAGGGAACTGCCATTTTAGTAGCAAGGAATAAACAAGGAACAATAAGTATGTGACATAATATGTGAGAAAGTAATAGGAACTGTAGGAGGCTGTGCTCATGCCTGTAATCCCAATAGTTTGGGAGGGTGAAGTAAAGTGGAAGGATCACTTGAGGCCAGAAGTTTGAAACTAGCCTGGGCAGTATAGCAAGACTTTGTCCCTTAAAAGAAATAAAAGTAAATTAAAATATAAAAGGATGTAGGGGCAGAGATGAATAGTTGCTATAATTTGGGGAAAAGGTGAAATGTGAAGTAAGTGGCCACCTGAAAGAAAGGAGGGTGGGAGCTGTGAGGATCTGGGGGAACAGTCTTCCAGGCAGAAGAAAGAGCCTCTGGAGAAGGAGTGTACCTATGTGGGTTTGAGTACAGCAGTGGGGTCCCATGACCTTTTGCCCCTGACCTTTGGCCACCAGCTCTGGGAGAACAGAAAGGATCCAAACGGTTTCCAGTGCTGTTGGTTGTGATGACAGTATTGTTAGTGTCCCAACAGTGACCATCATTGTCATTTTCTTTTTGTTTTTTCTTTTGAGGCAGAATCTCAGTCACCCTGGGTAGAGTGTGGTGGTGTCATAGCTCATAGAAACTTCAAACCCTGGAGCTTAAGCAATCCTCTTGCCTCAGCCTCCCAAGTAGCTGGGACTATAGGTGCCCGCCACAATGCCCAGCTAATTTTTCTATTTTTAGGGCGGTGCCTGTGGCTCAAAAGGATAGGGTGCCGGTCCCATATGCTGGAGGTGTCAGGTTCAAACCCAGCCCCAGCCAAAAAAAAAACATTTTCTATTTTTAGTAGACACAGCCTTGCTTTTACTCAGGCAGGTCTCAAATTCCTGAGCTCAAGCAACCCACCTGCCTTGGCCTCCAAGTGTCCTAGGTTTACAGGCATGAGCCACCACACCTGGCTATTGATTATCTTTTCATATCAGCTGTCCCTAGAGGGGCCCCATGGTTTAGGGGATGGGAGTTGGGTCTATACCCCCTTCCCAGTGTTCACATCCCTATCCTTCCCACCCCAGGAGGACAAGAACTTGATTCATGGTAATGTGTGTGGCCGGAACATCCTGTTGGCACGGCTGGGGCTGGTGGAAGGCACCAGCCCCTTCATTAAGCTGAGTGACCCAGGGGTGGGCCTGAGTGCCCTCTCCAGGGAGGGTGAGTACCTGAGCAGGGCTGGTACAGAGAGGGGCTTCCTATACTGCTACCCTTGGTGACCTCTGACTCTGGTCCCCAGAGCGGGTGGAGCGGATCCCCTGGATGGCTCCTGAGTGTCTCCCTGGCAGGACCAGCAGCCTGAGCACTGCCACTGACAAGTGGGGCTTTGGTGCCACCCTCCTGGAGATATGCTTTGATGGGGAAGCCCCCCTCCAGGGCCGCGGCCCCTCTGAGGTATGTCCTGGGGGATGGATGGAAGCCAGGTCAGGGAGGGATAAATGTGACAACTGTGGCCATAAGCAAGTTGTCTCCCCTTTGCCAAGCCTCAGTTGCCTCATCTGCAAAATTTAACTGACTGAGACCAGACATCCATCTGGTCCAGCCTTGCTGCTCTAGGCCTCTGCCTCTGCCTCTTGGGGCATACTGACTCCTGTGGATATCCTCCCCTACAGAAAGAGCGTTTCTACCAGAAGCAGCACCGGCTGCCTGAGCCCTCATGCCCAGAGCTGGCCACACTTACCAGCCAGTGCCTAACCTATGATCCAGCCCAGAGGCCATCATTTCGCACCATTCTACGTGACCTAACTCGGCTGCAGCCACAAAGTGAGCCACATCCCAGTTCTGGGACCCTGGGGAAGTATAACAGGGCTGGGGTCCCTGCTGACTCACCCATAGTACACCTAAGATCTCTGGGTGAGACCAGAGATTCTGGAAGAACAGTGGCCCACTTTGAGACCTCCAAATGTGGGTTTGCTGGGGAAAAGGTCAGGGTTGGACTCACTTACTGGAGCACTTGCAGATCTCACAGACATCTTGACTGTGAATCCAGACTTTCCAGCGTCAGACCCCACAGTTTTCCACAAGCGCTACTTGAAAAAGATCCGGGATCTGGGTGAGGTGAGGGAGGAGCCTGGGCTGCTGGAAGGCCCACATAGTGGAGGAGAATTTGGGGATTGAGTAAAGTCCCACCTAAGGGTAGTTTTGGGGAGAGGTGGATGGGGCCTGGCCTGAAGGGCACTCAGCTTTGAGGGAGACCCTGGAGAACCCCAGAGAGGGGCTTCCTGTACTACTACTCCCAGGAGACCATGCCCTCTTCCTGGGAGTATATGGGCCCTGGAGCTTTTCAAATGGGTCTGCCTCCGGGTAGAACCTGGGAACTGGGGGTGGGAGGATAGGGCTGATCCTTCCACCCATGGTTTGGCCAGGGTCATTTTGGCAAGGTCAGCTTGTACTGCTACGACCCTACCAACGATGGCACTGGCGAGATGGTGGCTGTGAAAGCCCTCAAGGCAGACTGCAGCCCCCAGCTGCGCTCGGGGTGGAGGCGGGAGATAGACATCCTCCGCACACTCTACCATGAGCACATCGTCAAGTACAAGGGCTGCTGCGAAGACCAAGGTGGGTTAGGCTGGGCGCGGCCTGGGTGTGAGCGGCGTGGCTAGGATTTGGGTGTGGTGGTGTGGGTGGGGCTTTGTTTGCTTGACCAATTAGAGTCTAGTAGCTTGAAGGACGCGGCCGCAGGCTTCCGACTGCCTCCTTCCCACCTAGGGGGCGCTGCCTGCTGGAACCTACCTGTACCAGCAGAGCCATTAGCAGTTGCCTCCTGGGAGACCGGGTACAGGATGGGCCCCTCCCACCTGATGACTGGGCCTAGCCTTCCTGGTATTTTTGGTTGTTGTTGGCTGGGCATATGGGGCCGGCGCCCTACTCCTTTGAGCCACAGGCACCGCCCGCCTTTCTGGTCTTGTCCTTCCTTCCGCACTTTGGAGGAAGCTCCGCACTGCTCTAGGTGGGCTGTCCACGGCCCCTCCCTCTACCTTCTTCCGGCCGCCCCTCTCCGCCAGGTGAGAAGTCGGTGCAGCTTGTCATGGAATATGTCCCCCTGGGCAGCCTCCGAGACTACCTGCCCCGGCACAGCGTTGGGCTGGCCCAGCTGCTGCTTTTCGCCCAGCAGATCTGTGAGGTGGGTCAGCCCTTCAGATGCTTCCAGAACTTGCTCCCTCTTCGCCTCTCCTCTCTGAGCAGTCTCTTTGGTCTGCTCACCCTCCTCGTCTCTGCCCACTGAGTCACACCCAGCTGACCCAGCCCTTCCCCATTCCTCCTCTTCCTGCCTGGGACTGCTCATCTGGCACTGCGTCTGCTTTCAGCCTGTTCCCTTTGGTTGGTCCTGTCTGCACGAGGCCCTGCCTATGGCTCTGGGCCCACCCTTGCCCCACTGACCCTGAGTTGCCCCGCCCCGCCCCCAGGGCATGGCCTACCTGCACGCTCAGCACTACATCCACCGAGACTTAGCTGCGCGCAACGTGCTGCTGGACAATGACAGGCTGGTCAAGATTGGGGACTTTGGCCTAGCCAAGGCTATACCCGAAGGCCACGAATACTACTGCGTGCGCGAGGATGGGGACAGCCCCGTGTTCTGGTGACCAGACTGGGCGCACTCAGAGGGGAGTTGCTAGGGTCATTTGAAAGTGCCAGGGTGAAGGAAACGCTGGGTCTGATGACAAAGCCAGTAAAAGTGGGCGGGCCCAAAGAGGTGAGGGGGCGGGACCCGAGCGCAACGTGGTCATTGGGTGAGGCCAGGCTAGCTTGGCCAGTTAAAGCCTCATCCTACTCCAGCTGTGCCATTAAGGGTGGATCCTAACTAAGCCCAGAGAGTCTGCCCCCAAACCCCAAGTCTAGCCCCCAGTCCTGAATGTTCTATCCCCCTAGGTATGCCCCAGAGTGCCTGAAAGAGTGTAAATTCTACTATGCTTCCGACGTCTGGTCCTTCGGGGTCACCCTGTATGAGCTGCTAACTCACTGCGACTCCAGCCAAAGTCCACCCTCGGTGAGAGCCAGTCCCACATCCCCCAACCCCAGAATTTACTAGAGGGCATGGACATGTGTTTATCTGCCACCTCCTTACTCTGACAGCACTTAATGGGAACCTCACAGTCCTAATCTATAAAATGGGATGCATACAAAGCAAAGGGCTTTGATTGTGACAGAAACCCTATTCATACAGATGTCGGCAAAATAAAAACAGCATACTCCACAATTTTTGCAAACTAGATGGGAAGAGGTGTGGCCAAGAATATGGCTTACACCGGACCCTCAGATATCATCAGGAATCCAATTTTCTCCCTCTCTCTGGTCTCTGAGGTAGCATCTCCCTCTCTTGTGCAACAGTACACCCCAGTACTTCAGCCACCCAGCACTCTGGGGACCAGTGGTCCTCTTTCTGGCGTAATTCTCAGAACTTTGTCTGATTGGTCCAACTTGCCTCGTGTCCTCCTCGGAGCCAATCATTGCATAGCCATGGAGCCACAGTGATTAGTCAGGCCTGGGCTGGAGGAAGTAAGGGTTTTATTCCCAAGGCAAGAGTACATTTATAGAAGAAAAAGAAGATTCTGGTCAGGCTCAGTGGCTCATAATACCCTGGGAGGAGGTGGGGGTAAGGATCCCTTGAGCTCAGGCATTCCAGACCCGCCTGAGCAAGAGTGAGACCCAGTCTCTACTAAAAATAGAGAAACTTACCAGGGTTTTGTGCCCAATGCTGGGGAGGCTGAGGCAAGGGTATTGCTTGAGCCTAGGAGTTTGAAGTTGTTTTGAACTAGGCTGACCCCACAACAAACTAGTCTGGGGCAATAGGTAAGACTCTGTCTCAGAAAAAGAAGATTCTTGGGCGGTGCCAGTGGCTCAGTGAGTAGGATCCCGGCCCCATATACCGAGGGTAGCAGGTTCGAACCCGGCCCTGGCCAAACTGTGCAACGACAACAAAAATAGCCAGGTGTTGTGGTCCCACCTGTAGTCCCAGCTACTCAGGAGGCTGAGGCAAGAGAATCGCCTAAGCCCAAGAACCAGAGGTTGCTGTGATGCCACAGCACTCTACTGAGGGCAACACAATAAAACCCTATCTCTAAAAAAAGAAAAAAAGAAGATTCTGTGAATATTAGTTTATCCAACTCTTCACAGTAACCCCAGGTAGTAGATGCTATCACTCCATTTTACTGATAAAATAACTGAGGTCTTGGGTGGTGCCTGTGGCTCAAAGGAGTTGGGCGCTGGCCCCATAAGCTGGAGGTGGCAAGTTCAAACCCAGCCCTGGCCAAAAACTGCAAAAACAAAACAAAACAAAACAAAAACCTGAGGTCCAGGGAAGCAAAGTCCTAAATTCAAAGTCATACAGCTAAGAAGTGTAGAGGTGGGATTAGAACCACACTGTCTGCCAGGCACAGTGACTATGCCTGTAGTCCTAGCAATTTGGGAGGCCAAGATGGGAGGATCACTTAAGGGCAGGAGTTTGAGATCAGCCTGAGCAAGAGCAAGGCTCTACAAAACAGAAAAATTAGCTGGGGCTTGGAGCCCCACAGCACAGTGGTTATAGCATCAGCCACATACACCAAGGCTGGCAGGTTTGAACCCAGCCTGGGCCAGCTAGAACAACAATGGCAACTGCAACAAAAAGTAACTGGGCATTGTGGTGGGTGCCTGTAGTCCCAGCTACTAGGGAGGCTGAGGCAAGAGAATTTCTTTTTTTTTTTGAGACGGAGCCTCAAGCTATCCCCCTGGGTAGAGTGCCATGGCATCATGCTCACAGCAACCTCCAACTCCTGGGCTCAAGCGAGTCTCCTGCCTCAGCCTCCCAAGTAGCTGGGACTACAGGCGCCCACCACAACGCCCGGCCATTTTTTGGTTGCAGCCGTCGTTGTTTGGCGGGCCCGGGCTGGGGATTCGAACCCGCTACCTTAGGTGTATGTGGCTGGCGCCTTAACCGCTTGAGCCACAGGCGCCAAGCCGAGAATTTCTTAAGCCCAAGAGTTGGAGGTTGCTGTGAACTGTGACGCCACAGTACTCTACCAAGGGCGACATAGTGAGACTCTGTCTCAAAAAAAGAAAAATTAGCTGGGAATGATGGGACGTGCCTATAGGAACCAGCCACTTGGGAGGATGAGCCAAGAGGATTGTTGAGCCCAGGAGTTGGAGGCTACAGTGAGCTATGATGTTGGCCACTACACTCTAGCCTGAGTGACAGAGAAGACTGTCTAAAAAACCAAACAAACGTAAATAACAAATAATAAAGGAAAAAACCCCACCCAGTAGAGCCTCACCTTCCCCCAGTCTTCGCTCCCTCTTGAAAAGAATTCATCTTGTTTCTACTTAGAAATTCATTGAGCTCATAGGCCACACCCAAGGCCAGATGATGGTGCTAAGACTCACAGAGCTGCTGGAACGAGGGGACAGGCTGCCACGGCCTGACAAATGCCCCCCTGAGGTGAGACCTACTCTGTTTTTCCCTGCCCCTCATGATCATGCCATAGAAAGAGCTGCCACCACAGCCCCAGATTTTTCTTCCTAGGTCTATCTTCTCATGAAGAACTGCTGGGAGACAGAGGCCTCTTTCCGCCCAACGTTCCAGAACCTCATACCCATCCTTAAGACCGTCCAGGATAAATACCGAGGTCAGGCCCCGTCAGTGTTCAACGTGTGCTGAGACTCAGTGGTGGTACCACTTGGGGTAAATGGACCAGGCAGTACTCACAGAGTGGGCCCAAGAGGGGAAATCAGCCTCACTTATCCTTTGTGCCTTACTCCTGTCTGGAAATCCCACCTCTGTGAACTGACTTTCCTTCCATGGCCAGGAACCTAACCATAATCCTGAGGGATTCAGGACAAGCAGGGAGAGAATCAGGCCCTGAATCCCCAGTTCCCACAGTTGAGACCCTCCATCTCCCCTATCTGGTAATAAACTCCTGTTTCCTCTACTGGAGACTGTAGTACTTGAGGTCTTGCTTCAGCCAAGGTGGGTTAGCTGGGGTCTGCCCTCTTGGGGACACTGCAGAGGTAGCTGGATTCTTTCTTTTTTTGAGACAGAATCTCACTTTGCTGCCCTTGGAGAAGTGCTGTGGCTCACAGCTCATCATAGCTCACAGCAACCTCAAACTCTTGGGCTCAAATGATTCAGCCTCCCAGGTAGCTGGAACTATAGGCACCTGCAACAACTCCCAGCTGTTTTTAGAGACAAGGTCTCACTCTAGCTCTGCTGATCTCGAACTCATGAAGTCAGGCAATCCACCTGCCTCGTCCTCCCAGAGTGCTAGGCTTACAGGCATGAGCCATGGTGCCCAGCCTGGATTCAAGTATTAAATTTTGGCTCAGCGCCTATAGCTCAACTGGCTAAGGCGCCAGCCACGTACACCTAAGGTGGTGGGTTCGAATCCCCAGCCCGGACCCGCCAAACAACAATGACGGCTGCAACCAAAAAATAGCCGGGCGTTGTGGCGGGCGCCTGTGGTCCCAGCTACTTGGGAGGCGGAGGCAGGAGACTCGCTTGAGCCCAGGAGTTGGAGGTTGCTGTGAGCTGTAATGCCACGGCACTCTACCCAGGGGGACAGCTTGAGGCTCTGTCTCAAAAAAAAAAAAAAAAAGAAGTAATAAATTTTTACTTACCTCTAAATCACCATCTAGACCACTACCTGGTATACAGAAGGCACTCAATAACTACTTAAATGTATAAAGTACTTGGCGGGGACCACAGTCACATAGATAAGACTGCCTGTTTTACCCTTTCATTCCTGTGTACCTCAGGCCAATGGCTTCACCTCCCTGGGCAGCTCTCAACATACAATGGTCATTCTTGCTATCTCATAGGACTAATGTAAAGAACTAATGAGGTGGTATATGGAAAATGCTGAGGGGTGGTGCCTGTGGCTCAAAGGAGTAGGGCACTAGCCCCATATGCTGGAGGTGGCAGGTTCAAACCCAGCTCCAGCCCAAAACTGCAAAAATAAATAAATAAATAAAAAGAAAGGAAGCTTTAAAAAAAAAAAAAAGGAAGAAAATGCTGAGCAGAGACACATGCAAATAAGTGCTTAATAAACATTCGATGTTATTGTTATTCTGGTGTTTGCCAAAGTGTTTCTCCTTAGTGGATGTGACTTAAGGTGGATTATGGAATCAGGCACATTTGTGAAAGGCAATTAAATAATTTTCTTCTCCATAAAGGGCTTCTAAAGACTATGCATTGCAACTCTCCTGACTGAACAATTCCACACTATTCTAATGACAGATACTTTTATTTTTTTTATTTATTTATTTTTTTAGAGACAGAGTCTCACTTTGTCCCCTCAGTAAAGTACCTGATGTCACAGCTCACAGAGACTTCCAGCTCTTGGGCTTAGGCGATTCTCTTGCCTCAGCCTCCCAAGTAACTGAGACTACAGGTGCCCGCCACAACGCCTGGCTATTTTTCTGTTGCAGTTTGGCTGGGGCCAGGTTTGAACCCACTACCTTTGGTATATGGGGCCGGCGCCATACTCACTGAGCCACAGGTACCTCCTGGATGCTTTAATAACACTTTTCAAAATTAAATATTCATTGTAATTTGAAATCTTTTGGAAGGAATTGGTAATATCAGCATTGTTATAAATTCAAAGAGCATGTAAATGTAGGCAGTAAAATGTATCCCTCCTCTGTCCCTCAGCCACTAATTTCCCTTTGAAGGCAACTAAGGTCATCAGGTTTTCTGTGTTTGATTCTAGTGATAATTTACCCACATACAAGGAAATCTGCATATGTATCTTTTCCCATGTGTGCAAAATAATAGCATGTTGTACCATACAGAGTTCTAAACTGTATCTTTTTTTTTTCCCCCCTCATAATAGGTCCAGGGGATTGTTCCTACATTAAGACACACAGAATTTCCTCTTTCTGTTTTATAATTGTATTGTAGCCCATCATTTAAATGTTATCAGCATTCATTTCCTATGGGTGTTTATGTAATTTCCAACCCTTTGTTATTCCCATGATGTTGGTCCTAGGAGTGTTTATGTAGTAATTTCCAGGCCTTGCCATTCCCATTCTATTGCTACAGTGAGCAACTATAGACTTACACATTTCACCCACTTGCTAGGATGTCTGTAGAACAAATTGCCAGTGGGAACAACTGGTTGAGGTATCTGGCCTGGTTATCTGGAAAGATCTGGCCACTGGAATATGCTTTGATGTTTGGTAGGGCAGGTCTCTCTGTGTTCTTTTCTTTTTCCTTTCCTTTCCTTTCCTTTCCTTTTTCCCTTTCCCTTTCTTTTCCTTCTTTTCTTTTCTTTTTTGGAGATAGCATCTCATTCTGCTGCCCAGGCTAGAGTGCAGTGGCATCAGCCTAGCTCATAACAACCTTCCTAAAACTTCTGAGCTCAAGCAATCCACCCACCTTGGCCTTGCAAGTGCTAGGATTACTTAGGCATGAGGCACGGCACCTGGCATCTCCTTATTCTTTTGTTCAAATTTATCTTGGGTTATTCTTATTTTTTAAAACTAACCTTAATTTGTTTAGAGCAGTTTTAAGTGTACAATAGAATGGAAGGTGTAGAGTTCCTAGGACTGTTTGTGAGGATTAGTAAACCTCCATAAGAACATTATCGCCCCAAACTTCATTTTCACGCAAAAGTCTCTGGTTTACATTAGGGTTGACTTGGTCTGGGTGTTGTATATTCTGTGGGTTTGGACACATGTATAATCACATGTACCTTCCATTACTATGTATAGTATCATGCATATTAATTTCATTGCCCTAAAAGTTCTCTGTGCTCTGCTACTCCTCCTAGCCTCTGAGAACGGTACTGACCTTTGTATTTATTGTCTTCATAGTTGTGCCTCTTCCAGAATGTCATGTATTTGGAATCATACGTTGTGTTGCCTTTTCTGATTAGCTGTTTCCACTCAGTGATAATGCATTTAAGGTTCCTGCACATCTTCCCATGACTTGATAAGTCATTCCATTGTCTGGATATACCATGGTTTATTTATCCACTTATCTTCTAAAAGACATCCTTCTAAGTTTTGGCAATTACTATGAATAAAGCTGTTATAAACACCCATGTGCAGGTTTTTGTGTGGACATATATAAATCTTTTATTATCAACATTATTCAAAACTATAGAGGGCTCGGCCCCTGTAGCTCAAGCGGCCAGGGCACCAGCCACATATACCGGACGGAGCTGGTGGGTTCAAATCCAGCCCAGGCCTGCCAAACAACAATGACAACTACAACAAAAAAATAGCCTGGTGTGGTAGCAAGAGCCTGTAGTCCCAGTTACTTGGGAAGCTGAGGCAAGAGAATTGCTTAAGCCCAGGAATTGGAGGTTGCTGTGAGCTGTGTTGCCATGGCACTCTACCAAGGGCGACATAGTGAGACTGCCTCAAAAAGAATAAAAATTGAGTCTCTCCAGCTACCGGTCCTTTCAGGGCTCCGCAGCTTTCCAGAGGTCCACTTCAGCACCCTGCAACCCTCCAGGCTCCAGCATGCCTGGCCCGACCCCCAGTGGCACTAACGTGGGCTCTTCAGGACGCTCTCCCAGCAAAGCAGTGGCTGCCCGGGCTGCAGGATCCCCTGTCCAGCAAAGGAAAAATGCCAACTGTGAAACAAGGAGTGCCGGCCGCACAACCTCAGCAGGCACTGGGGGCATGTGGCTGTTCTACACGGAAGATTCACCTGGGCTCAAAGCTGGCCCTGTTCCAGTATTGGTTATGAGTCTTCTGTTCATCACTTCTGTATTTATGTTGTACATTTAGGGCAAGTACACTCGTTCATAGATTCAGTTACATTTATCTGTCATCTGAAGAAGAAGGAAAAAGCCCAACATATCTTGGACCAAAAGTATAGCAATTTTCTGTTCATGGCTTGGTGCCTGTGGCTCAAGCGGCTAAGGCGCCAGCCACATACACCTAAGGTGGCAGGTTCGAATCCCCAGGCCGGGCCCGCCAAACAACAATGATGGCTGCAACCAAAAAATGGCCAGGTGTTGTGGCGGGCACCTGTAGTCCCAGCTACTTGGGAGGCTGAGGCAGGAGACTCGCTTGAGCCCAGGAGTTGGAGGTTGCTGTGAGCTGTGATGCCATGGCATTCTATCCAGGGGGATAGCTTGAGGCTCCATCTAAAAAAAAAAAAAAAATTTCTGTTCATGAGAAAGAAATTTTTAAGTCTGCTGTTTTATAGGGGACTTAACAAGAATTGATTTTGAGAAATCAGTTTTTTTCTACGGCTAATAAACTTAAATTTATTTACACCAAAAAAAAAAAAATTAAATGTCTCGGTGCCTGTGGCTCAAGCGGCTAAGGTGCCAGCCACATACACCTGAGCTGGCGGGTTCAAATCCAGCCCAGGCCGGCTAAACAACAATGATGGTTGCAACCAGAAACTTGGCAGGTGCCTGTGGTCCTAGCGACTTGGGAGGCTGAGGCAAGAAAACCACTTAAGCCCAAGAGTTTGAGGTTGCTGTGAGCTGTGAATCCAAAGCACTCTACCCAGGGCAATATAGTGAGATTCTGTCCCAGAAAAAAAATGTACATAGCTCATAGAAAAAAACCTATAGGGGCTTGGTGCCCATAGCACAGAGGTTATGGAGTCAGCCATATACACCGAGGCTGGTGGGTTGGAAACCAGCCTGGGTCAACTGAGGCAACAATGACAACTGTAACAAAAAAAAAAAAAACGCTGGGTGTTGCGGCGGGCACTTATAGTCAGCTACTTGGGAGGCTGAGAAAAGAGAATCACTTAAGCCCAGAGTTGGAGGTTGCTGTGAACTGTGATGCCATGGCACTCTCCCCAGGGCAACAGCTTGAGACTCTGTCTCAAAGAAAAAAGAAAAGAAGCCTCAGCGCCTGTGGCTCAAGTGGCTAAGGCGCCAGCCACATACACCTAAGGTGACAGGTTTGAATCCAGCCCGGGCCGCCAAACAACAATGACGGCTGCAACCAAGAAATAGCCAGGTGTTGTGGTGGGCGCCTGTGGTCCCAGCTACTTGGGAGGCTGAGGCGGTACACTCCCTTGAGCCCAGGAGTTGGAGGTTGCTGTGAGTTGGATAGTTTGAGGCTCTATCTCAAAAAAAAAAAAAAGAAAAGAAAAGAAAAGAAAAAACCTACAGGAAGAATATATACCATCATATTATTAGTGGTTATGTTTCAGTGGAGTGTTGATAGGTAATTTTATTTACTTTTTAAAATATTGATAAATGTTTATAAGGTTTGAATTTAAGATTTTCTTCTCTTGGCTTGGTGCCTGTGGCTCAAGTGGCTAAAGTGCCAGCCACATACACCTATGGTGGCGGGTTCAAATCCAGCCCGGGCCTGCCAAACAAAAATGACAGCTGCAACCAAAAAATGGCCAGGCGTTGTGGCGGGCACCTGTGGTCCCAGCTACTTGGGAGACTGAGGCAGGAGACT